CGCTGGAACGCCTATCTGGCCCTAACGTTGTCCCACTCCAACAGCAGCCAACCGAAGTTGGCACCAGGTTATTGGCACATGCCACATCCTTCGCACCCGCCAGACACTTTGAGGACAGATTGTCGCTGCCACATTTGATGACTGTCTACAAGGCGCACAAGGAGTCCTTCTGGTGGATCACCAATACAATTGTTTAGTGCTCTCTTATCTCGCTTGCATCTGTGATTGCCTGCTCAACTTCCTGGCTGTGGATATGCAGGCACTATGTGCCAGTAAGAGTGTTGAAGTAATGGCAGAACATGGCATAAGGCCTAACTACTGTTGGCCTATCACATCGGTAGGGGAATTTGTGGCTAACCTCCCGCAGAATGTATACTCCATCTACATCGGCGACATCACCAGATGCTTCGAAACCATACCAACGGACAACTCGGACGAGGGACTGATCTCTGTGATTAGGTTCTTCGTGCAATCTGCGATGATGAGGAGGAGATGAAGAATTGCAAGGGACGTCGTCGCCATCACAATCGCCACCAACAATTCACTGCGTCCACACTGGGTAGATGAGGAGCAAGAGAGGGACCATGAGAGACTCTACTTCCGAGAAAGGGATATCATCAGAGTTTGTGAATGGTTATTGAAGAATGGGGTTGTGCAAATGGCCAATAGGGTCTAGCGCTAGGTTCTAGGTATCCCGATGGGTCTGCCTTGCTCTCTCATCTTATGCAATCTGTAGTATGAGTTTGGATTGATCTCATACCGGTTGAAAGTCAAGATTGGTAGGCAATTAGATGTTTTGAAGACACATATAGGTATATCGATGACCTATGTGCACTAAACAACACGATAATTGTCTGATTCCTCGACGACAAACTCCCAGGCCAAAACGATGCCCCACGGCTCTACCCACACCAATTAATCAAAGTGAAAAAAACAACCGAGGTCAAAGTCGATGAACAAGGATTGGCCGCAAACTTTCTAAACATTACGTTATTTGTCGCATCCACCATGGATGGCACGTATGCCACGTCCAAACACGATAAGAAGAGGAGCATCAATTTCTACCCTGTCAGATTCGTGAAATTTAGGTCCAATCGCAATATTGCACAATCATTGCAAATTTTAACTGCACAAATAATACTTGTTCTGCTCCTCTGCTCAGACAAGCAAGAAGCTGCTTATGAAATCAATTCCCTAGACCTGACCATGATCTCCAACGAATTCGGCAGACATGAATGCTGGAAGGTAGTCGATAAAATATTCGAAAGCGGGGATAAGTATCAACCTGGGAGAGTAGATGATGTCATGGTCAAAAGTGCCGTGATTGCCAGATTTCACATGCCCTAAACTCTGTGTTTGTCTGTCTTAGTGTGTGGCAGAAATCGGATGAGAGGGTCAGAAGGCCCGATACCCTTTGGTATCTTGCCTTCCGCCCCCTCCCCTACTACTGGGGGGTAAGGGATGGGGCACACACACACAGACACACACACACACACACATACACACATACACACACACACACACACACACATACACACATACACACACACACACACACACACACACACACACACACACATACACACATACACACACACACAGACACACACACACACACACAGGATATCGGAGAAAGGAAGCACAAAGCTGACGGGATAAGGGGGACAAGCGGAAGGTAAGGAAGAAGACTGGAAGAATCTAGAGCCTGCGAGAATAAACAAAGTTTTGATTTTT